CCCTTAAATTTAGAGTAATCCCATAAGTAATGGGATATGTCATTTCAAAGCACATCATTGGGCCAGCGAGATGGCTCAACGGAAAAAGGTACTTGCTTTGAAGCCTGATGACCCCAGGACCTGAATGGTGGAAGGAGATAGGACTCCTGAAAGTTGTCCTGACCTCCATGTGTGTCATGATAGAAATAATCACAGGGGGCTGGAGGGATGGCTCTGCAGTTAAGAGCACTTGCTGCTCTTCCAGAGGACCCCAAGTCAGTGCTCAGCATCCAAGTCAGGCAGCTCACAAGCTGTGAACCCAGCTCTAGTTGATCTGACACCCTGTCTGGCTTCTATAGGCACTCACATACGTGTGCACATATCAACATGCAGACACACAAAAATAATTTAATTCTTTTAAAAAGTGGGACTCGGGGAAGTTTGGAGAGATGGCTTGGAGGTTAAGAGCACTTGCTGCTCTTCCAGAGAACCCAGGGTTCAGGTCCCAGCACTGACATGGGGGGGTGCAGTGCTCATAACTGCCTGTAATTCCAATTCTGGGGGAACCTGACACCCTCTTCTGACTTCCACAGGCAATTGCACTCACATACATACGTCTATTTTATGTGTATGTGTGCCTGAGTGTATCTTCAAGATGGTGGCCACCATGAAGGCGGCAGATATGGAAGGTGTCAATGGTACTTTCAGAGATCAACAAAAAATAAATTCACATGAAATATGAGAACTGCAGAGCTAAAGGAAGAAATTGGAGTGTAAGTTCTCCAGAACTGAGAAAATGCCTGTGATGACATCATGCTTGTAGATGATGACCGATTAATGATTCCTTAGTAAATTGGAGATGTTTTCATTAGCCACTCTCAAGAAGCCGCCCAAGAAATGTGAGAAGCAGCACAGGAAATTTTGCAAGAACAAACTGGCGCCTTAGAGGTCTGAGTGGCATCAATCAGCAGGTGTTAGCTGATTTGCAGGTTCAGTTATATGCAAAATTTGGCAGCAACATAAACCTTGAAGCTAATGAAAGTTAAACATTTAATACTTAAATAAAAATAAAGTTTGTTTAATAAACTTAAATTTTTTTAAAATAAAATTCATCTTAAAAAAAAAAAGCAGCTTTGGCCTCTGTTGGGTGGTTCTGGAGAAAGTTCCCCTCCCCTCCAGCTGCCTGCAGGCTATTTTGGAACATAATACTCTTCACACAAGTGAACTCTGTCCAAACATCTTATTTTAATCTGTTTTGCATGTAAAATGCCCACATCTCAAGGAATGATTAGGAGCATCTCAACTTCTACACAGCTATTCTAGAAGGAACCTGTCACTGGACTCCTGGTGGGTGAAGTAACTCCTGGTCACAGGCATCGTGCTCTGTTGACAAGCGTACTCCAGCTCACCATGGCCACCATATGCCCAGGGCCTCTCCTCTTCTTTCTTCAAGCCACTGGCACAGCTGGTAGGCGTGGCGATGTTTCTCAAGAGCTCTCTAGCCGGGGACACTTGAGGGTCAGAGGTGCTGCTGCTGCTGTAGGTCTGCTCCTCTGGGCCCTGTCTCCAGAGATCATAGTGATTGTCAAACAATGTAAAATGGCACTCACACTTCTTAGGATTTAAATCAACCATTTCAAACTCTCCTTGTTGCAGTAATAAGAACACTGCTTGTATAGTGGAGAGAAAAGCCATGCTGGGTGGCTGCACTTTGTTCTCTGACTCTGAACACTGTGCAGCGAGCGAGTGCCTTTGGACTATTGTGTCTGGACAGAGCCCTTGCCTTGTAAGGAATGCAGCACAGAACATAGCATTTCTGTTATACCACCATTATCATACAAAGAAGAGTTGGTCATGGAGGCCCACACCTGGAATCCCAGTACTCCAGAGGTGGAGGCAGGAGGATCATGAATTTGAAGCTAGCCTGTTTCAAGAAACAAAAACAGAACACACAAGTAAAATGAAGCTGCCTCCTGCATATGCCCAAACACTATGACCACGCTGCCAGCCACTGTGGCTAACAGTACAGTCCTCTCACCAGGGCAAAGAATCCTCCTCCCCAGCAGTCAGTCACCTGAGGAGGATTTGTGGAACACAACCAAAACTGAGTTTAATTGCACTCACACTTCTAGAATGTTCCTCCTTGCAAGAACCTCTCCTCTCCTGCACTTGGATGAGGCCCTGATCTGAGTTTTCCTTCTTCATTCCTTTGACCTTCTTTCCATTCTCAAACTGCCAGGATGGATAAACTTGAAGTTTCTTGAAGCCCAGGTGTTTATCAACACTGCCCCCTCCACCTTTCAGGAGCTGACTTCCCCCATATTTCCCTTCCAGATTCCAAATGTTGGGCCTGACTGGGCCTATCTTGGCTCTCCTGGCCTCTGAGGTTTTGTCAATGTCCACCCCTCAGTTCCCACAATTCTCTTTGGCTTTGTGACCCCCTCTTCTTGCTCCCTGTGCCTTCTCCCTAATGACTTCCTCTTGGTGACACTTAGGGATCAATTTAAAGACCTCTCTTCATTTCTTAGTTCCCCTGGTGACAGTCATTTTTTAGTTCTGTTCATGGAAGAATGCATAACCATCCAGCAGCTCTCCCTTGCCTACAGGGCACTTTGGAACTGACCCTTTCAACGCTGGTGATGGTCTGTGGCCTCACAGTTTATGAAGCAGAGTCACTGAACAGTCACAAAGGCCCTATCTGCCCTGTCTGATGGCCAATCTGCTGAGAGGAAAGAGTTGCCACAAAGAGCTTTCATGGGAGCTTTATCCCTGAGTTCCAGTTGTCAGGGTCCTCAAAGATTTAGTAGTTGGCACACAGGTGCCCTAGCAGATGGTCAGACTTGGGCAAGTCTGACATCTCTTAGCTGTGTGGCCTTGATCTACTTCTTTATTTCCTCTAAATGGGGACAATAACTCACGGGAGTGTTACAAATATTAACTGGACAGTTTGTATGGTGCTGGAACATAGAAATGGCTCAGCACAAGGTGGCCACCATTGTTAGAAATTAACTTCTTGAGACAGACCCTCCCTCTATAGTCCAGAATGGCTTGAACTCATAGCAATCCTCCTGCTTCAGCCTCCTGAGTGCTGCAATGACAAGTGTGTACCACCATCCCCTAGCTTTCTTTTAAAAATTTAAGCACAAGCCAGGCGTGGTGGCGCTCGCCTTTAATCCCAGCACTCGGGAGGCAGAGGCAGGAGGATCTCTGAGTTCAAGGCCAGCCTAGTCTACATATTGAGTTCCAGGGCAGCTGGGGCTACAGGGAGACCCCTGTCTCAAAAAGACCAAAAAAAAATTTAAGCACTTACCTCTGAGGTTTTTGCTTCTTCCAAAACACAGCCTAGAAGTCGTATATATTCTGTGGCACCTTTAAGGATATCCACTTTGCTTGGCTTCCTACTCTGTGGTAGAAATGGCACCAGTGCTTTGAGCTTAGCAAAGCCACGGTTGAGATTTTTTATCTAGAAACCAGAAAGGCACAGTGAGGTCTTGTGACGCTGACTCGTGCAGACATCACCAAGTCACAGAAGGAGTGTGAGGGTTTGACTCCTCCACCCTGTGCTGAGGATGACTCTAAGTAGGCAGCAGAGTTGCTGGCAATATACTGAACTGTGAGTGGGTGTGTGCACATTCCCAGATCCCACTCCTCCCCCGTGAAAACACACCCTCCACATTATAACTTAGAGATTTGGGGTGACTGCATAACTGACCAATAACTACCCATTGTGCCAGGATTTAAGCTGACTTCATCTTTTCCACCTTTATGAGAAAGCATGTGGAATACTTATATCACTAAGTCTCAGTGTGCTCATCTGAGGAATGGAAGTATTTAGCCATATCTTTTTTGTGGTGATTGTGTGACAACACATACCTATAGCTCCTCACCCAGGTCTAACACACACCAAGTGACTCTGCCAAGGATGAAGTTTTAAACACTTGCCTCAAGCACTCAGCTCCCCAACCTCTCTCTCATAGCAGTCTTGCCTCAGCCTCCTAGACTCAGAGCCAAGAATGAGCCACTGGATGTCAGGAGACACCAGATTTCCAGTGTCCCCTACCCTGCAGAGTCTACCAGCTTTACTCTGAAGGTGGAACTCTGAGGCCCCTCTTTCTTAGAGGACACAGATGGTGGGGAGCTGATTTCCTCTACACAAAGCCAGTGTGTTCCATTATCTTGAAAGCTCCCTCCCTTCCTGGAGCAAAGTAGGCAAAGACACAGCTGAATCACAGGAGAAGTAAATTGCCAGAAAAACTACAAACTGATCAGGTACCTTTTTCTGGTGTTTATGTGTGTGCAGATGCATGTAGAGGCCAGAGGTTGAGATCAGGTGTCTTAATGTCTCTCCCTTTTTGTTTTTTTGAGACAGTCTCTCTCAATGAACCCAAATCTTACTGATTTAGCAAAAGCTGGCTGGCCAGAAAGCCCCAAGGAATCTTCCTGTTTCTATCCCCCTAGCACTTGGAGTATAGGTGTGAACCACTGTGCCCAGGTTTATTACGTGGGTTCTGGGGATCAAACTCGGGTCCTCACGCTTGCATAGCAAGCATTTTACCTAAGACTCAGCCAACTCTAGAGCCTTAATTAGGTAGAATTTTTCATGTACCATGCTGGAAACATTTTTATTTTAGCATATAAAGCAGCATGAAAGAACATTCCTGAACTGAATTAACAGGGTTAAAAATTAGAAACCTTTAAAGAGCAATTAGACAACTTGTATCAAAGTTGTCTAATTTGAGGCTGAGCACCTCCTATGGCCCAGTAATTCCACATCTAGTATTTTATTATAAGGTAATTGTATATTATATACATATTTTTATTTATAAGGAAATTACATAGATGTCTTTACCAGTATAAAGCTACAAACATCAGGTACACCCAGGAATAAGGGACGCAAAAACTTTTCTACTTAAAGGAACTGCACACAGCCAAACCCTGTTCTGTGAAGGGACTCTAAAAAAGATAAAGGTTTCTGGTAATGTCAACTGAGAAATATTCCCAAGATATATTTTAAATGCTCACAATGTTTTAGAATTATCTTATTAGGCAATTCCTAACTAGAAAATTGTCTGGAAGGACACAGGCAAAAGCATTCATGGTTGTTATCTGTTAGGAAAGTCTCATTCCCTCAGTCATTTCAGTGTTTTCCAGAAGGATTAACTTTCTCATGGTGGAAAATAAAACCAAGACTTCAGTCCTACAGAAAGTAATTCCCTCCTGGTGCCCAGGGCTGCTTAGAATATTGGATCATGACCAGCTAGAATGGTTCAAAGCTGATGACCTGAGTTTGATTACAGGAACCCATGATAGAAGGAGAGAACCGACTTCTCAGGTTGTCCTCTGACCTCCACAAATGCCATGGTACAGATATGTCAGTACTCACACATAGTAAATGAAAAATTAAAAATATATTGGCTCACCCAGGTGTGGTAGCATACCTTTGATTTCAGCAATCAGGAGGCAGAGACAAGCAGATCTTTGTGAGATTGAGGCCAGTCTGTTCTACATAGTGTTTCTAGTGAGCTGGGGCTACCAGGAGACCCTGTCTCAAAAAAAAAAAAAAATGGCTCAATCTCATTTTAGGGTTACCAAACCAATCACTGGTCGTTTTTATAATGCATCCAGTGTCTGATAAAAGCATAATTTCCGTTCTTGAGATTTCCTCAACTTCCCTTGAGTTTTCTGCCTCACTTGATCCTAAAACTCAAGAGGTTTAGGAGCAAGTTCTAGGCCTAAAGATGTGCTGCTCTACCTCTTCCACCCCTCACCCATCCTACTCCAGGGTCACTTTTCCTGAGCCAAATCAAAATTTATCTAGGGTCGCAGGACATCCACCTGGGCTTTCAAGCAATCTCTTTAATTTGGGCCAGGTGTTGCCGGATATACTAAACGGTGTCAGCAGGTGGTTTTCCAAAGAGGCCTACCTTGTTACTCGAGGTGGAACTAAGTGTGGGCTCATCCTAGGTCATTGGGGCTTACTACTTTAAAAGGTGGGGGAAGGGACAGAGAAATGGCTTAATGGGTAAAAGTGCTTGCAGCACAACCTGACAATGGAACCCACCTACTAAAGGTGGAAGGAGAGTCTCAGTTCCTTAAAGTTGTCTTCTAACCTCTACAAACACACACACACACCACACGAGAAAAAGATTTAAGTAGCTTCCATGAAGGCCCTTCTCCCTGTATTTGAGGCCAGGGTGTATCGGGCAGGGAAAAGGACTTGACAGCTTTAGCACCTAATAACCAACCCTCACCTACAGGTGTGAGGCTAAGGCACAGTTCCTGCACTCTGAGCGCCTGTAAAACACCTGTCCCAGGTGCCACATCTGAAGGTAGGAGGGGCTTCCTCTACCCGGCTCCACACCAGCTCAACCTGCACAGTACAGGAAGGTCTGTGGGTGAGGCAGCCACTCCCACAGCCATGAGCCAGAATCTGCACGGAGATGGAGGGGAAAAGGCCATTGGGAACCCAAGGCAGCCTCACGAAGACAAAGTCACCAGGAGCCTGGTGAAAGCCAGGGGGCCGCCAGGTGTGGGGTGGTGAGACCGCCAGGTGTGGGGTGGTGAGCACAGGCCAGCACCGTCACGGGAGCGTGGTCACTTGGGACCCTCACCCGCTCACGCTCCTTGGCGTTGGCCATGCGCCGTCGCTCCAGCACCAGGTGCAGGTCGTCCATGGACGAGTATCCACCCGAGGGCAGCCGCTTGAGCCGGCAGATGGCCGCTAGTCGGGGCAGAGGTCCGAGCTGCGCCTGCAGCATCTCCTCCAACACCTCGGCCTGCGGAGTGACCAGGAAAGGCTCCGGGAACGCGGACACCGTGTCCATGGTGGCACGTGCAGGCCATGAGCAAGGGCCTTTCACTTATCAAGCCTCAGGGGCGTGATGGGGCGTGGTGTGTGGAGGGGCGGGGCCTGCGCTCGGGCTAAGGCAGCGAAAGGCCGCCCCCACAGGTGGAGGGCTGGCCAGTGTCCTGAGATTTGTGGTTAAAGTGTCTCACACTTGGAGCACCAACTCCAGCGGCACTGGACTGGGCCAGGGCGTGAGGACCAGGTGGAGGTCCATACTCAAGGGTTTTACATCTGAGGTGCACAGGACCCAGGCAGGGAATGCGAATTGGCCTGGAGCATGAAGGGCTGTGCTGGCACCTGGAAGTTCAGGATCAAGAAAGTCTTATACAACCTGGGCCAGAGTCTGAAGTCAAGCCTGACAACCTGACTTCACGCTCAAGAACCCACATGCCGCAAATTTTCCTGAGACCTCCACTTAAGGGTGTGGCACGAGAGCACACTTGCAAAATAAATGAATGTTAAAAACAAAACAAAACCAGCAGCCTTTCACATCCCTCACCCTAGGCTCAAAGAGCCTGGGGCAGGGTGGTCCATGGTGAACAGGCCTTAAACACCTGCCACACCTTGTACCTCAGGCACAAGACTCCTGGCTGTACCCACTGATGGGCAAGCAGTAAGAACTGAGGACAAAAGGCGGGGGAAACCAGGGCACCTGAACGTTACTGATCAAGGGCCTTACACCTGCCTCGGGTGGAAGCCAGAGACCTAGGCACGTAGGAGCCTGATGCCTGGAGGGGCAGGGCACGGGAAGGGTTCAGGTGAATACAGTAGAGGCTTTTTGAGACAGGGTCTCCCTCTGACTATCCTGAAACTATGTAGACCAGGCTGGCCTCGAATTCACAGAAATCCGCCTGCCTCTGCCACCAGAGTGCCTAGAGGAAAGGCGCCTGTCAGCCTCTAATCAAAAGGGGAGGGGCAGGGCGTAGAAGAGTGGCCTAAGGGACTAACAGCTTTGGCACTAGCAAGCCTGGACAGGACTCACTGAGGAGGGAGCCAGCTGGTAGTAGAAACGGGTGCACCCTGGAAGTCCATGGTGGAAGAGCCGTAACCTGCCTGACTGGTGTGCAAGGAGTAAAAGGCAGGACCTGTGGAGAGGCGGCCAGCGAGCAAACGTTTTTAATCAGTAAGTTTTACACCTCTTCTGCATGCAACAAACAGGAGCAAGCACACAGGTTAAGGCTCTTCCACTGTGGACTTCCTGGTGAAAGCCATGGTTGAGGGGGCTTTACACCTGCCTCACTTCACTGCAGACACACAGAGGAGTGAAAAGATCCCAAGGTCTTATACCTGTGGCACCTCCTGGAGAGGCAAAAGGGTGAGGCTGCTGGGACCAGGGGAGGGCGGGGCTGCCTGCCACGTGGTGGATTATGGTGGAAGGGATTTTCAGCTGGGGCACCTCTAACGCAGAAGGTCAGGTTTGAGGAGCGTTCACCACACCAGCTGCCCTCACTACCTGGCAATGTTGAGGACTTGTGCATTCTGGACACCACCAGCATCTCTTAATACCCTGGGTGGTTACTGTGAACCCTGGATGATTTGCCCACTTTGGGTTCAATGGGGAGATTTTTGTTTTAAATCTACCATACTAAAGTACCAGTCCCCCAAGTTCTGATTCCATCAGTCTGAGTTGGGGCCTGACTTTCTGGCTGTGTGCATGTGGATGTTGGCACATAACTACAAATATATATGTTGGGGCTAATCTTGGTTGTCCACTTGACACGTATGGGAAGGGGGAATCTCAGTTGAGGAATTTTTCCCAAATCACATTAGCCTGTGGTCAGTCTAAGGTATTTTCCTAATTGCTAATTGAATGTGGGAGGGCCCCATCCCTGGGAAGGTGGGCTTGGTCAGAGTAAGAAATGTAGCTGAGCAAGTCAGTAAGCAGCCTTCCTCCCTGGTCTCTGTTTCTGTTCAGCCTCCAGCTTCCTGCCTTGGTTTCCCTTGAGGTGGACCCTCTCCTGTAAACAAACCCGTTCCTCCCAGGTTGCTTTTGGTCATGGTGTTTATCACAGCAACAGAAAGCAAGTAGAACAATACGTTTGCATACTTAAAACTCATTTTGAAACACTGCTGCTGTAAGATAGCTGAGCCCGGAGCCCTGGCCTACCTAGGACACCCGAGGACCTGGGCTCCATCCGCAGCTGAAACAAACAGAAATGCTGCAGAGAAAACTGAGCAAAGTGACGAAGCTCCCGTCTGATAGAAGATGTGAATTTCAGGAGAGCCATAAGCTTCATTAGAGGAGGCCATAAAGACATAAATTCCTTAGAGTGGCTAACTGGCCCTAAACTGGCAGCCTGGCCTTGCTCAAGTCTGGCCATGCTCAAGCTTTATCAACTGGTCATTCCCTGGACTGAGACTGTGGAGTCCACCTGTCTCCTTTAGGGCTATAGATAACTCATGCATCTGCCTTAGCAAATTGTCTTCAGAAAAGAGACACTTAAGGATGCTGGACTCTGGCATGGAGTTAACTATTTTTTTATTATTTAAATAAATAATTTATTGAGAATTTCATAGATGCATATAAGGTCTTTTGAACAAATCCATGCCCACTCCCTCCCCTCCAACAGCTCCCATATCTCCCCATCACTTTTTTCTGATAACTTCATGTAGTCTTTCTCCTTTGTTGATTGATTTATTTTATGGGGCTTTTGGTTACTCTAACAATGCCCCCTCTGAAGAGGTATCCCTAAAATCTTTTAAGGATTAGATACAAGCTTCCAAATACTTTCAACATTTTGGGGCTTTGCATGCCTTTCTAGAGCAAAGTATTCATTCAGCCAGACTCCGGTTATTTGACGAGGTATTAAATAAATTCTGCATCATTTTTTTTCTTTGTGTACAATTATCCTATATATTTTCTCATTTTGGAACACCACGGAATGCAGATTCATTAAATGTATCTGCCACACCACTCCTCAATACAGAAAAAAATGGCGAAGATCTGTAATTGAGGTTGCTCTATGAACTCTATGACAATACAAGATTATTTTTCTGGTTTTGTTGTTGTTGTGGTGGTTTTTTTTTTTTTGTTGTTGTTGTTATTTTTGAGACAGGGTCTCCCTGTAGCTCCAGCTGGCCTGGAACTCAATATGTAGACCAGCGTGGCCTGGAACTCATAGAGATCTGCCTGCCTCTCCTGGAATTAAAGGCATGTGCCACCACGCCTGGCACAAGATTATTTTTCTTTCACCCTTTTAGTCCCTGTTAGTAAGGATGATTATCAGAGGCCTATAATAAAGAATTTGTACTTCAAAAGAGGTAAGTTTGGCTTCTGACTTCAAACTGGGTGAAGCTAGAAATGTAGTGACATGGTAGACAAATTGAGGCTCTGGATTCCATCCCTAGCATTAAAGGGAGGGAGAACAGAGAGACAGAGACACAGACAGACAGACAGAGACACAGACAGAGGAGACAGAAACACAGCATCATGGGAACACAGCATCATAAGAACACAGCATCATAAAGACAGAGACAGACAGAGAGACAGACAGAGACAGCATCATAGGAGACAGCATCATAGTGAAGAGAACATGAGAGATAATAAGAGAGAATAAAGGAAGAAAGAGAAACAGAAGCTTGAACCTCACCTTGGTGTCTGTGTCGTCTTTCCGGGACTCTGCTGGACAGAGTCCCGGCTCGCGGCAGTGAAGGAGGCGGAAAGGCAAGGAAGTTCACTGTTGAAGCTGTGCAGGCGAGTTCCTACAAAAGAGCAGATTGCTCCCTTTTCAGAGCACAGATAATCTTTCCCGAGAAACAGCTTTTATCAGCCCTTTGCTGGGTTTCCTGAATCCAGGGAGCAAATTTCTCGCCGGTTGCAGGTCTGGCTCCGACTCTTATTTCTAAACTTTGAACTCCTTTTTCTGCCCTCCTAAATGTAACACTGTTGAGGGACTTTCTCCTTGTTGACACCTCCCACGTTTGTTACAGGCTTCAACCTCTTTCTCTTCATGGCCATTATTTTCATTATTCTTTCTCCAAACTATGTCAACTGCTTTTTGTTTTAGTATTTGAGACATCTTGCTGTATTTCGAGGTCTCTGGCTTGGTCTCAATTTTTGGGCTAAAGCCATTGTCCTGCCTCAGCTTCTGGAGACTGGAATCACAGGCACGTGCCTCCTCACCCAGCCCACCCACTCTCTGTTGCTGGCAGCTTTGTCCTTCTCTGTCTCATTAGGTGTGTTGGGGAAATGAGAAAACTGAAGCTGTGTAGAGGCTTTAAATGACCTTTAAAAAATTATTATTTAAAATCAAGGAAGCAGCAAGGATTGGTGGCTCCTGTATGCAACTCTAGGACTTGGGAGGCCGAGGCAGCAGGATCACCTAAATTAGGCCAGGCTGGGATATAGACTGACACCCTGCCTCAAAATAAATATAAAACAAAAAATAAACTAAAATTTGGGAAGCTGTTTATTCACTTAGCGAGACTTGGAAGGACTGCAGTAAAGAGTCAGCCTTCATTTCTCCCTGGTTCCCCTCCCTGATCCACACCAGGTACAAGTGGGTGGTGAAAGCCTTGGCCATACCACCACAGGGTTCACAGAAGAGGAAAAGATACAGGGAACAGCCTGAGGTTGTTTCCTCACAAGTACTCTCAGGTCAAAAATCTTGTTCCCCCTGTGGGACTTCAGCACCATGACTCACAGCAAGATGCCAGCCCAGAGCCCTGTGGGCTACAGTGACCACAGAGGAGCTAAGACTCTGGCAGGGCTGAGGTTACAGCAGAGGTTGGGTCAGGGGAACTAGACTGACCTTTGAACGTGTTGCTGAAACTCCCAGGTCTCATCTCTCCGTCTGCTGAAGGCTAGGATAGAGAGAGACCCTTCCCTGGAGTCAGTAGGGAGTCAGGAATCATTGACTGCAAAAGAGTGACCACAGACACTTGGACAATGGGGCCCATGTGCAAAACTTTGTGCTAAACTCATCCTAGGAAATACATTTAGGGGGTTGGTTGTGGATTTTTGTTGTTGTTGTTGTT